ATTTTGTACAGCCCAGAAATGAACCAGCATTTGAGGCCTGCAAAGTTACTGACATCTATTCACGGCAGAGTTGCATGAAACATAAAGGAAAACCAAGCGCATATGATCCATGGTCAGTGTTTGAGGAAAACCATTTATTTTCATAGTCTGTCATGCTTCATTTAGTGCGTCCAGTGTTTATCGGGGACCTCAGCTCTCATGAACCCAACACGTTTATTTAGCCCTGTCGTGGGTTTACAACCAGCGGAGACATATTTGAACTCTCAGAAGAGATCTTGATGTAGTCTGCGTGACTGGAATGTACACTGGTGTCATTCTCTATTACAGTCAATCTTTACCTTTTTTGGGTCTGCAGAAAGAGAGATCCATGCGGTGCCGACCGGCTGATGGAGGCGAGACAAGCGTTTTAGCTTTGCGACGCTCCAGAGGAATTTAGGTTTGAATCTAATTGAGCTTTATGTGGTGGTTTAGCTACACGATGTGGGAAAACAGTGCCCTCTCTCACACACACACACGTATATTTATCCTAGTGTCTTATCGGGACTTCCCACTCACAACTAAATGGATTTCCATTAGCATATATGAACCGAATCTTGAAATATACCTCAATTATTTATGAGGCAGTCTTTGTGAGAAGCCCCAACTAAAGTTTCAGTCAGGGTTTGCTCTTCGTCTGGGGATGTTGAATCCCCACCAGGATAGAAATACCCGCTCTACACAGTTTCACACAAATGAAATAAATGTGCATGGTTTTTGTTAACAGAATTTTGTTATAAGAACGTTCTCTAAATATTCAATGTTGGTTCTGGGAACGTGAAAAATGTCTTGACATTAGAGGAACGTGTTTTAAAAGGTATAATGTTCCTCAAACGTTCTTTAAACGTAATTTTTTTATTAAAAATTCAACATGTTGATTTCTAATATTCCAAGAGCATAAAAATGTCCAGTTTCCTGAATGTTACTACACAACAAAAACTCAAGAGTATTAAAGACTCAAGAGTGTTAAAGTGTTCAAGTTTGAGTGTTAAATTAACAATGAAGAGTGTTAAAGTCAATGAGTGATGATTGAGCATTATTTAAGAAACCTGATGACAACAAGCAGAATGACTGAAGAAAACTCAAATTGTAGTCACCATTATGGAGATCAGTATTTGCTTTAGTTGGGCAGTTGACTTTTACAACGTTCAACTTTTGATTTTGTTTGTCTGCTGTACATGAGTTATGACAGTCAGATGAACAAAGAGAAAATGTGATTTCATGGTGTTATTAATGTTTTAACATAATCATTATTTCACAATCATGATCTGAATCACTGAACTAATTTAATCCTAATGTCTTTCATAATCATATCAAAGTGGTTTAACGTCTTAAAATCCTGATTTTTCAATATAATCCAAAAGATTTCTAAAAAGTTCAATTATTTGGAGAACGTTCTTATAACAAAATTCTGTTAGCTGGGTATCAGTTGAGTTTAGATACAGGTCAAAAGGTCATAAGACCTGTAGTAAAAAATACAATTGAAACAGTTAATCCACATCCAGGAAGCTGCGTTTTAAAATTGCATGTCGGAATTATGAATTATGTATATTTAAATGTTGTATCTCGTGTTTTTGTTTCTGCTCAGACTTCATATTTCACATTAGCAGGGATGTCCAACTGCATGAATGTAAAAAAAGAAAACATGCACTTAGTACAAAAATATGCGATCAAAAGAGGAAAGATGAAGAAGTGCTTCAAGATAAGTTATCCATGCAACTTTTTAGCAAATTCCCTCAGTCAACTCTATAGCTCCTACACGTTTGGGCAGGAACATCTGTGACGCACAGAACCGTAAGAATGATGATAAAAAAAGTCATGGAAATAAGCAGTAACAATCCATATATCTACAGTTCTGGGTCTGTAGGATTTGTTAATGTTTTAAGTCTCTTCTGCTCACCAAGGCTGCATTTATTCGTTTAATTTCTATTACTGAGCAAACTTTTTTCTAAAGTAAATATCATGAAGTATGAAATATCCTGCTCTACCTTTCTTTTTCTTTCATCCTCAAAAACTTCTCATTTTCTCCCTGGTCTTTCATTCCATTTCACCTCAATGTTTCTGCTCTTTCCTTCTAGAAAGCAGTCAATCATTTTTGTTTTTTCCTCTTTATTCTCTCATCCACATTAACATGTAAATGAGTTTGATTGTAGAGCGCTAAACACCAACTGACTTGTTGTAACCTTATTGATTTACATTTCAATATAAAATAAGAGAGAAAAGCGAGGTGAGAAACCAGAGATATTACTTTTTCTACACAATTGTTCTGGCTGTACCATCATAATTATTTTATTGTCATGAAAATTCATTGTCTTTGTTCTTTTTGCACCTTGACATGCAAATCAAAGTAGGATTAGTTCCACTTCCTCTGCTATTAAAAACCTGGAATTAAGCCGCTTTTTTTTCTCAGGTCTTTCCGACAGTTGCTTCACATTAATAGAAACATCACAAATGAACAAACCGGGGACTTGCATACAAATGTGAAATAATGAAGAGTTATTGCGTTTTTTTGAGGCTCACTCTCACGGTTGATCTGTGGTGCTCATGCGGGAACGCGAGTTCGAATCCAGCTCATGACCTTTTAAAGCAGTTGTTGTTGGTATTTGATCATAAGGGGTTAGCGATAAACAATAACCATAAGTATTCAACTTCTGTACACTCGTCTAATAGGCTACTGTTTGTTCACTTTTAAAAATAAAGGTTCCAAAACCAAAAATCCAAAAATGCGAGACATTGTGTGTTCGACCTTTCAGTGAACCGAACCTTCACATTCTTACATTTACACAACAACAATACGTTAAAAAAAATGTAACTTTCATTTTTTGGCAAACAGACGACAACACTGTCAAAACGATCCCCGTTCACACGGATCCGCGAAAACGACTAAAAACACATGTTATTCTGCTGCCAGGCCAGTAGTTGGCGATGTAACGAAACACTACATGTCTACAGACTGAACATGTAACCCATTGAGTCGGCCCACATCTGGATCATGTGGAATCCACATATACCAGATGTGGGCCGGATCCGGACTGACACTACTCTCTTAGAAGAAAAGGTTCTATATAGAACCTTAAAAGGTTCTATCAGCGCTACGTATTTGGAACCCCTAAAAGGTTCTATACACTCTTAAAAAAGGGTTCCTCTGGGTTCTATATAGAACCCTGGGGTTCCATACTTGGCCAATAGAACCTTTTACCAAAAAAAATGGTTCTATATAGAACCATTATGGAGTTCCATATATGAAGCGGGGGATGGAACCATTTCTGGTTCTAAATAGAACCATTTCTTCTAAGAGTGTATGGCCCTTACACAAGAACGAATATGCCTATCGGATATGCCTTTCGTTTACACGGCGACAGCGTTTTTGGGGCTTAAAAACGCAAAAAAAGTGAAACCACTCTCCTTAAAAACACTCCACTGCCGCGTTCCCGTGTAAAGGGTAAAAACCAAGCGGCAACATTCTAATCTCAAAGATGAAGCCTACCCGGAAGTGCGATAAACTGCAATACATCTCAAATCCACTAGAGGCCGGTCCCAAAAGGGAGCAAATATCCATAGACGTCATGTTAAAATCTCCGTTTTCACAGCATAAATTCATATGTTTACAGTTTGGTCCCATGGACTTTTATTGTAATCTTCAATATGTTCCGCGTGCCTGACAACTGTGAGGGGGGTGAATTTTTTTCTAACTCGTTAGTTTAGATCATATTTAGATATAAAACGTATGGCAAATAAGGGCGGTTAACTTTGATTGACAGCTGATAACGGGCTGCGCCGAGTGAATTTGACGTCTCGGCCATGATCTGACACAACACATCATACCACCTCTGTATCCTTTCTGAAACTTTTGTATTTTGTATTTTCCAAGATTTTCCAGTATGGTGCCGCCCATACCCCCCATAAACAGCCTTAAACCCGTTCTTCAGAGAGTCTATGGGTGACGTCACAGACGCTTTGTCCATATTTTTTACAATCTATGGTAAAAACTGGTAAAATGCAAAAGTTTGCTTGACAGTGAAGGTTGTACGCAGGCGCGCGGGCTTGGTGTTGTTGTGTGGTAGTGCTCCACATCGCCACCTAGCCGCCTGGAGTGCATACTACATTGAATTTCACACTTTTGCGTCAACATATGCACGCAGATTTCCCACCCATAACGCTCGTCTAAATGCAGAATAAAAAGTGATAACGCAAAGCCACTTTTGTGTTTTCTCTTCAGAAACATTTCCGTGTAAACATAGCCGAAGTTGCTGTCTGGGAACACACATGCACCTGACATCACCGTTTTCAGAATTGCACTTTTTCGTAGTTTATACGGAGACGATAACGGTATTGTTTTCAAAAGTCATAGATCACGGAAACTTGAGTAAACAACCAGCCAGAAAACCGTTCCATCCAGAACCTTTAACATCCATGAAACCTTTTATAAAAAAGATTATAAAAAAAGTTATTTACTCAAAAAAATTATTTTATGAACTATTATGAACCCAAAATAGTTCTTCTATTTTTAAAATCTATATATTTTTATGAGTGGAATACTTTATCATTGAATTTCCAGCTTTTGCAAGAGCAAATGCCACTCATATTTTCTTCAAAATCATGTTTCTAATAAAAAACACAACCATTAAAACACATTAAAGTGCCATTCATGCATACACCTTATCTATGCTGAGCACGGTTTCCATTTCAGCTTTAAAATTCATTTTGATATATTTGGAGGGCAATAATTTTTTTTTTTAAAAATCACTAAAAGATAAATTTTCCTGTTTCTAAGCCAAACTCTTTCCTCACACCAGCCAGGTTTTGCAGAGTGTGTTATCCTGATTGTGCAACCGAGTGTTTCTCCTACACTTGAGTGACTAAGATGCACAACCATCTGCAGACAAGTGGACATCTTGTTCATTTTTGATAGTCATTGTATGAAGATTTATAAAATCTTTATTTTGTGTGTGTGTTTTTCTCAGAATACTGGGTTTGGAATCTAATCTAATGAGGGCGAGAGACGGCGTGGGTCGATTGCTCGGGACGCAGGAGGTCAAGGTGTTTGAAACCGGTGTGTCAGCTCATCGGGTATATCGCTGTCTGGCCTTCTCATCCCACACCATCATTACGTAAGCGCATCCTCATCACCAAAGATTTCAGTCACAACACATTAATCACAATGCTTTACCTGAACTTCACACCATAAGGTCACCAAGACAAGGCCTTTAGAGAATGTCACTTACAAAGGGAATGAACCAGCTGCGCCAAAATAAACTACTACGACTAAACAACATATAAATCAATGCCAGAACGCCTTGGATAATATATCAAAGTGTCTTTTATTGTAAATAAATAAACACAAGCACACTTTTAAAGCCGAATGTGCATATAAAGTCATAAATGGATGAATATCAATCTTAGATATTAAATAACTTTTAATAATATGAATAAAAAAAAAATACTTTTTCTGGCCTTATTAACTGAAAGTTTAAATGATGAAGAGGGATATATTTAAAGAGTCGTTCACACACAGACTATAAATCAATGCAAACAGCCCATAAAACACACAGACGCTGTTCTTGAGATTGTTACCAGCGATAAACACACGGACAACAGCAAATGATTTGCAGTGTGTGTTTGCTTTCCTCAGTGAATGCAGGCCGGATGATGAACAAGAAACAGCAATGAGCCACAAGAGGTTGTGCGTTATTAGTGATTTTACCACTATAGGTTATAGGCAAATTGCCTCAATATTAAAGGAGTAGTTCACTTTAAAAAAAAAAAAAAACTTTTGCTGATAATTTACTCACCCCCATGTCGTCCAAGATGTCCATGTCTTTCTTTCTTCAGTCGAAAATAAATTAAGGTTTTTGATGAAAACATTCCAGGATTTTCTACATATAATGGACTTCAATGGGAACCAAACGGTTCAAGGTTTCAGTGCAAACTGCAAACTGTTCAAAGGGCTTTAAACGATTCCAGACAATGAATAAGGGTCTTATAAAGCGAAACGATCGCTCATTTAATAAATAAATAACAAAGTTTAAGTTTTATAAGGTCAAATGGTCGCCTTGCTCTGTGATGCGCATTTGTGACTCTCCTGTTCAAACTCGTACTTTTCCCGAGTCAACTCGTTCAATTCGTTTGTTGAATGAACCAATTGACACGAAAAAAAGATTCATTCATTTTGATGAACTTAAACTTGAAAACTTAAACTTTGTTATTTATTTATTAAATGAGCGATCGTTTCGCTTGATAAGACCCTTATTCATCGTCTGGTGTCGTTTAAAGCCCTTTAAACAGTTTGCAGTTTGCACTGAAACTGTCTTTTGGACCTTGAACCGTTTGGTTCCCATTGAAGTCCATTATATGGAGAAAAATGCTGGAATGTTTTCATCAAAAACCTTAATTTCTTTTCGACTGAAGAAAGAAAGACATGGACATCTTGGATGACATGGGGGTGAGTAAATTATCAGCAAAAGTTTTTTTTTAAGGTGAACTACTCCTTTAATGGGCATAATCACACATATTATGCATATATACACACTGATCAAAATTATAAACTAAACACTTTTGTTTTTGCCCCCATTTTTCATGAGCTGAACTCAAAGATCTAAGACTTTGTCTTTGTCTACACTAAAGGCCTATTGCTCTCAAATATCGTTCACAAATCTGTCTAAATCTGTGTTAGTGAGCACTTCTCCTTTGCCGAGGTAATCCATCATGCTATTTAGCCAGCACGATTATTGCACAGGTGTGCCTTAGGCCAGTTTTTCCCAACCCTGATCCTGGCGGCACACCAACACTGCGCGTATTCTTTGTCTCCCTAATCAAACACACCCGATTCAACCCATCAGCTCATAAACCCACCTGATTATTAGCTGATGGGTTGAATCAGGTGTGTTTGATAAGGGAGACAAAGAATACGTGCAGTGTTGGTGTGCCGCCAGGAACAGGGTTGGGAAACACTGCAGTAGCCTATACTTATGCGCTATCAATCGTGTAGAGCAGTGTTTCCCAACCCTGTTTCTGGCGGCACACCAACACTGCACGTATTCTTTGTCTCCCTTATCAAACACACCTGATTCAACCCATCAGCTAATAATCAGGTGGGTTTATGAGCTGATGGGTTGAATCGGGTGTGTTTGATTAGGGAGACAAAGAATATGCGCAGTGTTGGTGTGCCGCCAGGAACAAGGTTGGGAAACACTGGGCTAGTGAATAAGTGTGTCATTTAGGACACAACTTTGGATTATGACTACTATCCCAGCCAGGATGTTTCCCTAACGTTCCTGTATGGTTCCCATTTGGGTTTTTTGGGGGGGGTGTTTTGGTTCTATTTTTATAACCTGTTCCCATAAAGTTTCCAGAACGTTCCCCTAACCTTAAAGGAGTAGTTCACTTTAAAAAAAACAAACTTTTGCTGATAATTTACTCACCCCCATGTCATCCAAGATGTCCATGTCTTTCTTTCCTCAGTCAAAAAGAAATTTAGGTTTTTGATGAAAACATTCCAGGATTTTTCTCCATATAATGGACTTCAATGGGAACCAGACAGTCCAAGGTCCAAAAGACAGTTAATAACAGTTTCAGATGCAGCTTCAAATGTCTTTAAACGACATCAGACGATGAATAAGGGTCTTATCATGGGAAACGATCGGTTATTTCAAAACTTATCCCAAAAATGTAACTTTTCTAAGGACAAATGCTAGCCTTGCTCTATTCTGTGAGGCGCGTTTGTAACGTCACGTAATACGTAATTACGTTCAAAAGGTCACGGGCGACGTAGCCTGAAATACAGAATCAAAATCGTCCGACATCGTTGTTTTACCTTTTAATTCCTTTTTTTGTAAACGGCGTTTGAGTTAGTTTGCACGTTCAACTTGTAAACACCGACTCTGTACTTCTGGCTACGTCGCCCGTGACCTTTTGAACGTAATTACGTATTACGTGACGTTGCAAACGCGCCTCACAGAATAGAGCAAGGCTAGCATTTGTCCTTAGAAAAGTCACATTTTTGGGATAAGCTTTGAAATAAACGATCATTTCGCATGACAAGACCCTTATTTATCGTCTGGTGTCGTTTAAAGACATTTAAAGCTGCACTGAAACTGTGTTTTGGACCTTGAACTGTCTGGTTCCCACTGAAGTCCATTATATGGAGAAAAATCCTGGAATGATTTCATAAAAAACCTTAATTTCTTTTCGACTGAGGAAAGAAAGACATGGACATCTCGGATGACATGGGGGTGAGTAAATTATCAGCAGAAGTTTTTTTCAAAAGTGAACTAATCCTTTAAGGGAACGTTTTTTTAAGTTAAGAAAACTTTCCTGGATCACCAATAGGGAACGTTCTGGGAACCAAAAACTAGCGTTCCTAGAACATAAAAGTTAGCTGGGATGACATCACTCAAACATTTGCATTCCGAATCTATTTGCATACTGAACTGTGATTGGTCTTTTGTCATTTGCCATGTTGTGTTATAATGCTCTTCATTAGTGAAAAACACAAGACAAAATGCCTTACAAGCACTTCTTTGCTCAAATAAATTAAAAAATAATAATTATTATTTGCATGAACTGTCAAGCAAACCAGATCGCTAAGCCTAAGGCCCCGTCCACACTACTGCGTTTTCGTTTAAAAACGGAGAATTAAAACGAATACGATCTCCGTCCACACCAGCGTTTTGTCTGCGTATTAGAAACGACCTCCGTCCACATTAAAACGACTGAAAACGCGGATCACGTGACCATTCACCAACACTGGGCATGCGCGCGCCGGTGTAAACAGTGGTTGGCGAATCAGGGAAAGATATGTCATGACTGATGACACCCAATCATAGAGCCGAGCGTGAGCCTCTGCGTCATCGTTTGTAAACTCCTCCGTTTCGTCTCGTCCACACTAAAACGCCCTCCGGAGATTCAAAACGCAAAGCGCAGCTGCAGCGTTTCTAAACTTCTCCGTTTTAGGTCTTCGTTTTTCCCGTTTTAGTGTGGACGGGAGGTGCAAACGTAGCAAAAGGTCTCAGTTTTTAAAGGAAAACACAGTAGTGTGGACGGGTCCTAAGAGAGAGAGAGAGAGAGAGTATTTGGCACACTGCATTACCATGTGAAGTTACTACTCTGCAACTCATGAAGGCCCCGTCCACACTACTGTGTTTTCCTTTAAAAACTGAGACCTTTTACTACGTTTGCACCTCCCGTCCACACTAAAACGGAAAAAACGAAGACCTAAAACGGAGAAGTTTAGAAATGCTGCAGCTGCGCTTTGCGTTTTGAATCTCCGGAGGGCGTTTTAGTGTGGACGAGACGAAACGGAGGAGTTTACAAACGCTGACGCAGAGGCTCACGCTCGGCTCTATGATTGGGTGTCATCAGTCATGACGTGTCCTTCCCTGATTCGCCAACCACTGACACCGGCGCGCGCATGCCCAGTGTTGGTGAATGGTCACGTGATTCACGTTTTCAGTCGTTTTAGTGTGGACGGAGATCATTTCTAATACGCAGGTAAAACGCTAGTGTGGACTGAGATCGTTTTCTTTTTAATTCTCCGTTTTTAAACGAAAACGCAGTAGTGTGGACGGGGCCTAAATAAGCAGCTTTTTATTGGAAAATCTACCTTTTTGAAAATAGCTGAGCTGGATCGCTTCTGAAAAATGTGATGAAGTGAGAAGCCCTTCAGTTTAATGACTAACTCCTTAAGATTTAATTCACTCAGAACCAAAGCCTAAAACATCTTTTTCCTCTTTTTGTTTTTTTTCTGCAAATGCAAATATACTCTCTCTTTTTCCACTAATAGAGGAATCAACATGGCTTCTGTTCAGCACAAGGCCACTCTGAACACAACAATCTAATGATAAAACCCGGTTTTAATGAGAGAGATGTGTGGATGGAGGCAGCCTTCACTCTCACTGTGTGAGGACTCATGCGTAATCCATCATCTGGATGGCCCAGCGTGCTCATCTTATGAATACACTCACACCGGCCTCCTACGATCCTCAATAGATCAGAGTTTAAAAGCCGTTTCAGAATGTCTGCCCAAAACATCTACTTTCTGTTCACCCGGGAGAAAAAAACTGCTAAAGTCTCTTTCGCTCAGGCATTTGTAGGAACAGATGATGGTTGTTAAATTTGACATTTGCTTACAAAGTCTGTAGGCGTCAAACCTGCGTCTGCGAAGCATCTGACTGATGTTCAGCTTGATAAACTGTGCGCGCTCTAGGAATAGGCTAATGTGGAAAACATATTTAAGTTCTGTCACGATGTGCCACACCAGGTTTGGCATCAAGTCGGGTTATCCAGCAATGCTTTTTGCATATCTCAAATGAGGCAATAAGCCCATATTATATGCAGGGCTGCCAACTCTCACGCATTGAGCCAATTCTCACGCTGTCACGCCACACCCCCGATTCAAGTCAAGCCATTCAGCAAAATACCTGAAAGATAAGTTTATCTATAAATCCACCAGTTGAGCCACTCGTGATCGACTAGTTTTACCACAAATGAGTTAAAATATCCTCTAATCTAGTCTAGAGCGATCATGCATGCGAGACAGATGTTGAGCTCCTAACGTCGCGGACGCAAAACCAGGACTGGAGTCAAAGCCAATTCCTCTCAGCACTCTAAGCCTAAGCATTCTGTTATCACTCCGATTATATCCACTACGGGTTTTCCAGGCCATGTCCACACTAATACGTTTTCGTTTGAAAACGTATATTTTTCTCCGTTTTGGCCTTCCGTCCACACTGAGACGGCGTTTTAAGTCAACAAAAACGTATCGTTTGGAAAACGCTCTCCAAAGTGGATAAATTTGAAAACGCCGTTTTCGCGTTGTAGTGTGGACAGTGAAACCGGAGGTATTTCAAAACGATGACGTAAGTTTAGTCATGTGATCCATGTAGTACCAGTAGATATTCATGTTTATCGCTATTGTGCCTGTTATGTTATTCATTTTTACACTGTTGCTAAAATATGTTACTTTCTATGTTACTTAATATGTGCTATTCTTCATAGCACAGTACTGCAAAGATGACAGATAATGTACTTACATTTGCTGTCCTGCGGCAAAACAGACCTGCTGTCCTTGCGTTTTAGACCAAACATATGGTGACTGAATGCGACCTGGACACATCAGTGATGGTGAGATATTTTGCTAAATAAAATTATCCTGCCTGAAAACGCTAGTGTGGATGGAGAGCGTTTTTAAACTAAAACCCCGTTTTCAAATCTATCCGGATTAATGTGATCGTAGAAAACCCGCTCCGTTTTCGCGTGAGTAAAGTCCACACGTTTCTCTCTAAACACCCAGCACAACAGAATGCCTATTCTTAAAGTTTTGTGCTGTTTTATGAAGGCAAAAAGCCATATCATGGTTTCGTTTTTTAGTTCATTGGCAAAATATGACACTAGAGACCTTCCTGTTAGTTTATATACATTTAACATCTCATGTTCGGCAAAAGGCAGATTCGAACTCGGATCGGAGCGCATCAACTGCTCTTTCACGAACTACAGGCTCTACGAGCTACGCCACCACAGCTGTTCCGTGACGGGTGTGTTTTTGGTGTAAAGACAGGCATTAAAGGCGGCTTTAGTGCAAATATAGTCTATGCGCACAATTCTTGGTGTTTCCTGTGTCACACCACGTTTGAATACACAAAGCACAAATTGAGATTCAAAAGCGTAGATTATCAGTGAATATCGACTAAAATGGACATACTTTGCAATAAGGGTGTATAATTTATTGCATACTTTGTATGTATGTGTGTAATAACCCAACCTTTACCACGCCGCTGGGTCACTATGGGACGGAACATGCGCTGGGTTGGTTTGACTGGGTTGTGCTGGGTTTCTCCATTTAACCCATATTGTTGGGTCATTCATTTGACCCAACCAGTGGATGAAATTGACCATCTTGCTGGGTTAAGTCTTACTCATGTGCTGGGTTATTTCCTGTATCATTGCCTAATTAAAATTAATAACAAATATTTTTTATATTATTAATGTAAAATATTGATTTTCTCTGTAATACAATAAACCAGAGAGGCCACTGTGATTTCAATCATTTATTATTATTATTTTTTGTTTTTACATTTTTAATGCATCTCTTTAATATTTTTTTGTAAACAATTATTACAATTATACAATGTATACTCATTCTAAGGTAAAAAAAAACATAACGGTTCATTAAGTAAGGTCTTTATACACCACTGAAAACATAGATATTGCATTTCTGTTAACAGATCCTCCTAAATGTTACACAATGCATCTTTAAAAGTCATTAAGCAACTAATATGAACCCTTATATGATTATGATTTCATTTATTAAGATGTGTTGATTTATTAAGAATAGCTACAAACAAACATAAAATGTGACTAAATATCACGGGGTTTTCCTCAAATTTGACAGAGGACGACTCTTTTCCATTAATTTGATAGAAAATAAGACTTTGAAACAAAGATCACCAGCCTCCGGCAGAGACTCAGTCTCGATGGCGTGGCCTGGAACAATGGCAACAGTTTGGCGTGTTCCCCTCGTCACATCCCTGATGCTCCTGGTCATGTTGGTCCCCACCTGTTGATTACACACAATTACTAAGAGTGTTGCAATATAACTGACATGCAAGTTAAACTTTTTGTGTGAAATTATTTATATTTTTATTGCAAACATTACCAAATATGACCAACAAACAAAATGTCTTTTTACACATCTAAACAGACAAGCAGTCTAAAATAGTCTATGTTTCAGGATAAGACAAAAAACACGATTTGGGAAATGGATTCATGATGTACTCACTCATTATAAACATTTTGTAAAATTTTGAACACAAAAAAAGTTATGGACTGCAGCTTTAAAAAATTAACAAAAATTATTTTTTAACATTTTTTATGTTGCAAACAGAGATTGCACCTATAAATATTCTAAACCTAAATTACTTTCATAGTTATCAAGCATATCAAACGTCAACCATTACAGGTCAACTTACAGGTCGCATGTCAAGGACATGTGTCCCTGTGTCGTGGGCTGAAGTCCTCTCCACATTTTTCTGAGTGTACAAAATCCCTCCTTGTGACAACAGTGCAGCATTAAAGAGGCTTTCATGACAAGGTTATCCAGCTCTGGAATGTTTTTCTCCCATTTACACTGATCGGGAGGGTCTCAAGTGATTCATTCGTTTTGTTCAGAACAATGTTTTTGTTCTAAGAATTTTTCCAAAGCATGAGGTTCGGTTAAGTAAATGCCCAGTTTTCTTAATGTTAGAGGAAAGGTTAGTATGTGTTCCTTTCAACGTGGATTTGTAATAGTCCGAGAACATACAAAATGTCCAGTTTCCCACTCAAAAAAAAAATGCTGGGTTGTTTCTGTAAACAAATTGCTGGATTGATTGTGCTGGGTCAAAATGCTGGGTTGTTTGGGGGACTGTAAACACATTATTGGGTTGCTCATGCTGGGTCAAATGATTTGTAAGAGGGTGATTCACAAATAAACAGCTGGTTGGGTTATTTTGACCCAGCAACTGGTTTATTCTTTTATTCTGACTCGAGGAGGACGTCACTCGGAACAGGCAGTGTTTTATGGTAAGTTAAAATGAATGTTTACCAATATTTTTAATAATTTCACTGTTCAGCATACAGTCTTTGATATGGAAGTGTGAAGGGTAATGTATTTATTCTGTAAAACATTTAATAGTAGGCTAACAGCTAGACGGTTAGATTTTTTTTGACAAAATGGCGCGTTAGTTGTAAACCAGCAGCCTTATTGACCCAGATAGCCACTGACTCCGGAACAGATCTGCCGCGGAGGTAAGAACAAGTTCCGGAACGGAGTCCACTTGCACAGCGCAACGGATCCGGAACAGGAACCAGACCCTATCCGGATCCGATCCGGACCCGTTCATTTCGGTCTGAAAACCTTTCAGATCACTCATTCAAAACTAGTAATCTGGCCAAAACTACAAAAATATTTCAAATCTATTGGTAGAATATTTAAAGGTGCAATCTCTGTTTGCAACATAAAAAATGTTAAAAATAGATTTTTGTTAATTTTTTAAGCTACAATCCATAACTTTTTTTGTGTTCAAATTTTTACAAAATGTTTATAATGAGTGAGCACATCATGAATCCATTTCCCAAATCGTGTTTTTTGTCTTATCCTGAAACATAGACTATTTTAGACTGCTTGTCTATTTAAATGTGTAAAAAGACATTTTGTTTGTTGGTCATATTTGGTAATGTTTGCAATAAAAATATAAATACTTTCACACAAAAAAGTTTGACTTGCATGTCAGTTATATTGCAACACTCTTAGTGATTGTGTGTAATCAACAGGTGGGGACCAACATGACCAGGAGCATCAGGGATGTGACGAGGGGAACACGCCAAACTGTTGCCATTGTTCCAGGCCACGCCATCGAGACTGAGTCTCTGCCGGAGGCTGGTGATCTTTGTTTCAAAGTCTTATTTTCTATCAAATTAATGGAAAAGAGTCGTCCTCTGTCAAATTTGAGGAAAACCCCGTGATATTTAGTCACATTTTATGTTTGTTTGTAGCTATTCTTAATAAATCAACACATCTTAATAAATGAAATCATAATCATATAAGAGTTCATATTAGTTGCTTAATGACTTTTAAAGATGCATTGTGTAACATTTAGGAGGATCTGTTAACAGAAATGCAATATCTATGTTTTCAGTGGTGTATAAAGACCTTACTTAATGAACCGTTATGTTTTTTTTTACCTTAGAATGAGTATACATTGTATAATTGTAATAATTGTTTACAAAAAAATATTAAAGAGATGCATTAAAAATGTAATATAAGTAAATAAATAATAATAAATGATTGAAATCACAGTGTTTTATTGTATTAGAGAAAATCATTATTTTACATTAGTAATATAAAAAATATTTGTTACTAATTTTAATTAGGCAATGATACAGGAAATAACCCAGCACATGAGTAAGACTTAACCCAGCAAGATGGTCAATTTCATCCACTGGTTGGGTCAAATGAATGATGGGTTAAATAGCACTTGGGTCAAACCAACCCAGCGCGTGTTCTGTCGGTTCTATAGTGACCCAGCGGCGTGGTTAAGGTTGGGTTATTTTTTAACCCTGCATTTTTTAGAGTGTAAGCGTTAGAGGCAGTAAAACCAAAACTATAACAGTTCAGTTCTGTGCTTTGCTGTCAAGCGTTGTACCAAAACACTCAATGTGTTTGCCGTAGCGTGATTATTAAACACTTTGCATCAGTGTTTCTACCTCACATCCCTGTGTGACTATGTGGCTCTTATCTATAGTGACAATAAGAGTTTCAAAATGTGGGAGTATTTAAACACCCCTTAAGTACACTGTCAGGGTTACACAACTGAAGGAAAACCAAAGGTAAAACAACAAAGAAAGAATGAAGCTTTTGTCATATAGGCTGACATGCCTGTCCTAAATATTGGGTGCGGCGAGAACACTGATGTAATTACAGGTCACCGCAACATATATAAGAAGAACCAGCAGCAAACCTGTCAGGAATCTCCAGCAAGCATCTTCCCAACACATCCTCTCTGGTAAGGCTAGTGTTGACATTGATGAACATTTGATATTTAAAACATGATTCATTTGGTCTGACTGGCTCTGGGTGTCCTCACGTATAGGCTAGCTCTTAATGGCAACTTAATTTGTTTTGATTCGGGGAGGTTTATGTAACATACTTTCTTTCTAAACGGTCTCTGCATCTTAAGGAAAGATTCGGAGTGCTAATGTCGTTCTTAAAGTGTTTTCTCTCCTCAAAGTGACTAAAATTAGGCTGAAAGTGGAAATCGTCAGGGGTTGATATAGTGAAGCAGTTGCTTCTTTCTCTCCTTATAAATGTGTCTCACGTCTGCTGCTGGCACATAAACTTCTGCCCACCTGCTAGTAAAGCTCAGCGTGGCTTTCTTTTATCTCCTCTCAGGCACACTCAGGACAACCCTTGCCTTTTCTGGGCTTGATTTGCCTGAGAACAAATGATAGGGAGAAACGGGAATAAATTGAACATTTTTATGTCAATTTTAGGGCATTTATCTTTTTTCTTCATTTTTTTCTTGTTTGCGTGACACTGACTTTGCAACAACAGTTGGTTTTATAGTATTTTACTGAAGTATGATTTAACGCCACTTTTTCCGAATCTTATTGCAGTGAGAAAAAATGTAGAAAAAAATGTTTATTAAAGCCCATTAACACAATAACGGTAAAGATAACTATAACAATAATTATATTTACACATTTGATATGGTTCTTTTCATAATAAGCACATGATGCAGTCTGTCACTTTAAATGCTCGAGCTCGACACAGCAGGATAGATTCTCATTGGCTGTCAGTGTTTTTATTGTTCAAAAATTGTTCTGATTCCAGCAATGTAATTTCTCTGTGCCTTTATTGTTATAGTTGTTGTGTGGAATTGCTATTCTTTTATATTTACAATGAATTTATAATTGTATAACTATATCTTTATATGATTTTATAACTTTTTATAAAACGGTTAGTTCCAATCCTTGATTCTGATTGGTCAAGCTGTGCTTTATTCAACAAGGCTATGGCCGCTTCACCCAACGGTTATATATTTATCACTGCGCAACACTGCAGTTTTTATTTGAGCTTTCATGTGTATTTTATTACACATTGGAACCATAGGATTGGAAAGTTGTTGCTGTTCAGGTCAGGAAGTATTTTTTCTAGCGGAAGGAAGGCTTTTACTTCATGAAAGTTACACTAATACATTTTTTTTTACTTTAATATTTTTATTGTGTGGTAACCGTTTTATAAAAGCAATAAGGTGCAGTGCTGTGTCGTGAATAACGGCTACTCCGCTTCGCGTCGAGCCAAACAACGCCCTTCAGCCGTTACTATATTTACGATGCAGCCGTACCTCTTGTCCAAGTGATGACGTCACTTGTAGGACAACTCGGAAGCTAGCGGCGCATGGGTTCCCTCAATCGAAAAGCTATGCATTTTCCCCACAGACTTTTGGAAAATCGCAAAAAATAAGATCTATGTTTAACAAAGAGTTACACGTTTTGTCTATCAAGATCATCTTTACAAGTTAATCCAAAATTTATACATTTTGAAGTCTATATAAAGTTTTAAAGAAACGCAATCAGACACAATAAAGTTAAAAAAAAAACACAAGCAGGTTATAACTGTGTGTTCTATGCCATAGATAAAAACGTGAAAATGTTTAGAGGCTTTGTTTACCACAGACCTTATTTCAGGCGATTTAGCAAAAACCCATTCAAAAATCCCATTTAGAGCGAGGGAACCAGGAGTGCTATGGCTAAAATGCTAACTCACTTTCGCGTTTTGGCCTACAGAGTGACGTCGTAACTTCGGCACTCCACACACAAACGGACGTCGGACGATAACATTGTTTATTATAAGCGCTCACTGTCATGGCAACTGCTGCATTATAGTCATTCTGATTGGCTGTCAGTGTTTTTAGGAAAAAACTTTCAGAAAAGGAATCACATGATATTTAGAATGATTATTAAAACTTTAGTCAGAGTTATTATCATTAGTTGTCCTTGTGGATTATGAATTGATTATAAAATAAGTCGTTTTTTAAAAATAGTTAAAATAATACTTGAATAGCTATTTGATATTAGTTAGCATAATCAAAAAGCCTGTGGAAAAGTATAATTGTTTGGAAGCTGGTTGTTAAAGATTATATGAATTTCTGTATTGATTGTGCTGCGCTTCAAACAACACAATCAATAAATAGATCAAATAAAACTTAAATAGCTATTTGTTATTTGTAAGCATTATCCAAAAACCTGTAAGTGGAAAAGTATAATTTTTCAGAAGCTTGTTGTTAAAGATTATGTGAATTTATGTATTGATTGTGTCATGTTTTGATGCACAGTGAAAATGTTGGCGGCATTGGCTCTGGTTCTGCTGGTGTGCAGTGCGACCGAGGGACGGATTCTCAAAAAATGTGAGCTGAAGGCACAACTCAAGGCGGCTCAGATTCAGGTGATTCAGGCCGTGGGAGACAAAACAACCGTGGACAAATTCATCACTACAGGTGAGTAACTCTTTCTGCTCTAAAAATGACCCAAAAAATCACAATAATACCTTAAATTTAATAAATGTGTACAATGTCATTCATATGAAATCGCCAACTGGTAAAATAGATAAGTGTTCCTCTGAGATGGGGTTGAAAATCGCTACTGTACCCGATAGACATACAAAAGATTGTCGGAGGAAAAGCCCCAAATTTGCCATTTTCACTGAAAATCTCTCAAACCCCATTTCAAGTGTCAATTATTTCCTTCTCTTTCTTTCAGTTGTGTGTAATGTGGAGAACATTTCCGGCTTCAACACCAGCCTCGTCACCAGAGTCCTGATCAAACAAGATAAGATCAGACCCCCGGTCCAAATTCCTCCCAAACCAAAAGTTCTAAAAATACCAGCAAAAGTATACATTGATACGAAATTAAAAAAAGAATACATAATCCCTGTTAAACCACAAAGTCTTCCCAAGGGAAGACCTGGGAGATCTGTCCCTAAGGGCAAGACCGTTGTGATACTGGGAGCAAAGGATCTGCACCATGATCTGTTCCCGGGAAAGGTCCGCGTCGACTCGACGTTCGTGGAGGAAAGCTCCGGAGATAGCTCAGAGGAGGAACGTAAAGATGTCGTCGCATGGAGCCTGTTGGGAGTCTTCCAGCTAAATGATCACGTGGCTTGTAACTCCGGATTGAGTGGATCACTAAACCTTTGTGGTCTGAAGTGCAGTGGTGAGTGGAGAACATATATATATATATAAAGTTCTGTCATGAAGCTCTAGATGGCAAAAAGGTCCTCAGTAAGGCACAGCTGATTGGTTCTGCTGTATCAGTAGCCAGTGAGCTCGCTGCTAAACCTTTAAATACTTGGTCAGCATTTGCTGTTGCAGTTTCCAGTGCTCTCCTTCCCCAGCTCCACCTGTACAGATCTGCTCCGGGTAATTCATGTATATTATATTGTACAGCAGCTGCATGCCTTACTAGCACTACTTGCTCAGCAGCGACAGCAATAAAAGCGGGGCCCGGTTTCAAGAAGATAGACTTTTGCTTAGATATAGTAGATAGTCAGACATCTAAATCAGAGCTTAAAGGAGTAGTTCACTTTAAAAAAAACTTTTGCTGATAATTTACTCACCCCCATGTCATCCAAGATGTCCATGTCTTTCTTTCTTCAGTCGAAAAGAAATTAAGGTTTTTGATGAAAACATTCCAGCATTTTTCTCCATATAACGGACTTCATTGGGTACCAAACGGTTCAAAGTCCGAACGAGAGTTTCAGTGCAGCTTCAAAGGGCTTTAATCGACATCAGACGATGAATAATATCAGCAAAAGTTTTTTTTTAAAGTGAACTACTCCTTTAAGACTCTAACACTGCAATGCATTCTGGGTAAAATAAGACACTTTTCAAAACAAAGAACATGGCGGCAGTGTTGTAGTACTCGAGACTCGGACTCGGTCTCGAGACCATATTTTAATGGTCTTGGTCTTGTCATGGACTCGTGTGCATTTGGACTCGGAATTGACTCGTACTCGAACATTTTTTTTTTTTAGGACTCGGAATTATTCCCGAGTCCACTCGAGTTCAATTAAAAATATTTTTCATGATTATTAATGTATGTTAATAAAATATTTCTTTAAATTGATTGACATGCCCAGTGATTGATTTTCTAGTGCGTAACTGCGCATGACAAATTGTAATAAAATTACTTTTAACACCACCTACTATGTGGCCTTTTTACCCTAAACTGATCATATTTTTTAAACTCTAAGTAAATTCAGTAAAAAAAAAAAAAAAAAGGATTTCTCTAAGTAAATAAAAGTAAATTAGGTAATCAACCCTCACTGGTCTCGGACTCGACCGTCTCTGGTCTCGGACTCGACTCTCTATGGACTCGGTCTTGACTCGGACTCGACTCGGACTCGACTCTCTCTGGTCTCGGTGTCGACTCGGACTCGAGTGAGGTGGTCTCGACTACAACACTGCATGGCGGATCGAGTAAGCGCATTCAACCGCTCAGTTCAGTTTATCCCACTTTAAATATGTGTGTGTTGGAGAAGTAAAACAGTTACAAGGACATTTTACTTAGGAAATGTTGAAAAGAATGAAATGTGTTTAATTTGGACAAAGATTATCGTCTATGTTTTCTTTCGGCTGTTTGTAGTGTAACTGACTGTTACTGCTGGTTGCCACGGTAACAGAGTCTACCTAAGTTAGCCTGAGGCGTATCATTAGTCCGTCTTTGTTTTTGTGAAACATTATGAGCACTTTTAGACTTGTCTAACACTACAGACCGGTCTAAATAGCTTTGTAAATCCGGCCCCATGTCTTCCTTTTTTTTCTTTTACCTTGACAGCTCTCGTCGATGATGACATCACCGATGACATCGCTTGCTTGAAGACTTTGGCGAGAAGTCGCGGCAAGTTGTAAGTTTCACACATGCAAAAGCAAGTGCACAAATGCATACGATCAGTTTCAGATTCAACCCGAATATCTTGTTTTTAGCATTGGCGTCGATCCCAAGAACAGATTCCTGCCTAAGTTGTGAGTATAAACACTAGCGTAACTGCTCTTTTGATTGAGCTCCGCCGACCGCCGCTGAGCTACATGTGTGTTTATGTGCTTCAGATTGGCAAAGGAGCTGGTGAAGGAGTGTCACTCTGTCGTTTCTTCTAAGTATTTCCCCAAGTGCGCTTAAAACATCGCGACGGATGAAGCTTCTCCATGCGACGGCTGGAACCACCATCTTCACCGCTGAGGTTTTTCAATCACACGCTAGGAGATTCAACGGTTACTTTTTCACATACTTAAAGACCCAATGAACTCAAAATTGTACCTTTAGGCTTTTAGATCATTTATATGCTAATGTACCTGAGAAAATTGAATTTGAGGTTTATCCATATTTTTTGTCTAATAAAATGCTCTATAGAAAGAGAATATCCCAGCCCCTAAAATATACATGAGAGGCTTGTTTATGACATGAAATAGCTTTCAGCAAGATTCAAACTAAAAAAAAAAAAAAAAAAAAACTTTAAGTTTTTATCGTCTCAAGGTTATATGAGCTCATTGTAAATGGTTAAAAAGAAAATTGGCATTTTGAAGATTCAAAATCACAACTCTAGGGTCAGTAAGATTTATTTATATATTTTTTAAATATATTCAGCAAGGATGCAATGCTTATATGCTTATAATGTTACAGAAAATGTCTATATGTTTTCCAAAAATCCTAAAAAAAAAAATGTATCACTGTTTTCACAAAATTATGAGGTGGCACAACTCTTTTCAACATTGATAATAATCATTGCACATCAAATCATCATATTAGAGTGATTTCTGAAGGGTCATGCGACTCTGAAGACTGGAGTAATGGTGCTGAAAATACAGCTTTGATCTCAGAAATAAATTACATTTTACTATATAATCAAATACAAAACAGTTATTGTAAATTGTAATAATATTTCACATCATTGCTGTTTTTACCATATTTTAATCAGCCTTGGCTTGGGGGACAAAATCTTTTGATGTATTTGTCAAACAAAATGTCTGCTTGGGTAATAAATATATTTGGACTCCATGATGAACTGGACTCTGTAGTTTTGTCGGGATGTTTTTAAAAAAACCTTAAACCACCATTGCTTATATGTAACTTATATGTAAGTCTTTAATGTACTATCACTAAAAGTTTACTGTAAAAAAAAAAATTCATGATTCGTAATCACAACATTTTTTCTTTTGTCAAATCAACTTAAATAATTTATGTGGTTCAGATAAGATAATATTTTGGGTTTCTGATGATTAAATCAATCTCCTCCATTGTATTAACTCAATTTTTCCATTTCAATGAACTTAGCATTTTAAGGCAACCAGGTTACTCCATTTTTTAAGTTAAACTAACAATATTTTTTTACAGTGTTTCAATCTAATATCAGGCTCAAGTTGTTCTTTTTTTAAAAATCTCAGATATGACCATTTTTTATTTTTACCAGTATGTGTGTGAAGAGCTGAAAGCAGAAGACAAAGAGTCTATTGTCCATGTGCGATACTGATCAATAATTCTCTGAAACCAGAATCCACTGCTTTGACTTTATCTATTGAGGTAGACTAGGAATCATTTCACACACAAAACCATCAAACCATTTCATCCCCAGCGCTCGGTGCCCTGTAATGACCCCGCAATTTTGTCTGTGGCTCTCAAGTGGCCTGTGCACTCGCTCTCGGGTCACTCGACAAAGGTATTGGGCCGTAATGAGAGGCAGGGTTAGACCTGGAAAACCTTAAGGAAGAAATCGAAAAGCAGTGAAATTGAAATGGAAGGTTAATAATTCAGGACTGTTTCTCGGAGCCCATTTTGCATATTTCATATATTTTCAGATTAGGATATGTTGTTTTGCCTTTAAAAAAAAAAAAAAAGAGGAATCCTACATTGTGATAGAAAAATAACATGAATTTGCGTTAAATCCCCTTAGAGACAAAAATGAGAAACTTTATTTGGTTGGAGGAGTGCGAGGTATTAAGAAGGAGACGAGCTTAAAAGCTTTCTGACATTTGAGAAACCGTGGGTGTAAGCTGTGGTCATCACAAACAAACCTCACCGCAATCAAGACGCAAGCGAAATTCATTAAAAACAACAACACTTTGTGAGAAGAAACGCAAATGTGTGCTTTAGTTCTTATCCTGAAGCATGAACACAAGTCAAAACACCGGCTACATAATTTACACAGACACTAATGCTCGGCTGCTTTATTTTTTGGGCTGAACATCCAACAAATAATGTGTTCTTTTCTTATTCACTCAGTGTAAGGACTGTAATCATAGACATCGAGGGATTTTTTTTTTATGTTAACCAAAATAAAATTACATCCTATAACAGGGACAAACATTTATATTTAGCCATTTAGAAACACTTTTATTATTATGAGTCTACAACAACATACAGAAAAGAGAGCTATAGGAAGTGTCTTTCTCAGAATTCATAAGTGCATATTTCTGACAGAATGCAATGCACTAGAAACTGAATGAACAAATTAAGGAAAAATGTGACTTTTTTTATAACATGTTAGAGTGAAATGTGATTAATGTTACAGTGATGGCAATATAGAGTGCCGAAGTGATGACGTCACTTGGAAGCTAGCAGCGCATGGGTTACCTCGGTCGAAAAGCAATACATTTTCCCTCATAGACTTTTGGAAAATCGCAAATAATAAGATCTGTGTTTAACTAAGAGTTGTGACCCTATATCAAGATTTTAAAAAACACAATCAGACACAATAAAGTTTAAAAAAACCACAAGCAGGTTATAACTGTGTGTTCTATGTCATAGATCAAAACGTGAAAATATTTAGAGGCTGTTTACCACAGACCTTATTTCAGGCGATTTAGCAAAAACCCATTCGAAAAACCCATAGGCTTTAGAGCGAGGGAACCGTAATGCTAAAATGCTAACTCACTTCCGCGTTTTGGCCTACAGAGTGACGTCGTAACTTCGGCACTCTATTCTGATGAAAAATAAACATTTAAAGTCTAACCATGACATGACTTTAAGACAAACCATGTGTAAATTCATAAGTCGAGAGCATTGCTGAGTATGACGTCACACACCACCTTGTAACCATTCAGATCAACGTGTGATCGCCAACGAGTGGATCTCTGCGCTGAGCAAGTGGAGGCGGAGCTCATTTGCATATTAATAGAATCGCGTATTGAGAATGAGGAGTTGACGTCATTTTACAGTGCCCCGCCCCTTTCCGCCATGTTGGTAGGATTCCCACGGCAAAACAGTATTGATTATATGTGTTTTTAGCTCGGTAGTAGAGGAGTTTCTCGCTATACCGCACTGTTTTACCATGCCTGGAAGTACTGCTGCGTTAAAAACCGATAAAAACCCTGGTAACCGAAAGCGTCACCTACCATCATGGCCAAATGGCTCAGACCCCGCCCAAATAGGCACGTGACTCCTCATTCTCAATAGGCTACTAAATGAAGCAACGGTGTCGAGTTACATACAAGCTATTTTTTACAAGGCATGAAGACTTTTTTTTACATATGTCATTTTGGTGATCAGAGATTAATTATAAGGGATATAAGTATTGACTACAGGGGGACTTCATTTCATCATGAATTATTGAATTTAATTGTTTTCACAATTAACAGATTTATGCTTTTTCTATGCAATTTGAAGAAAAGCATTTTGGAAATATGATTATTTACACAGTGAAATAGATGCGAAAAGTTAATAATAAACTGTTCTATGATCTTATTTATGTAGGTTATGACTGACAAATATGCATAACATAAAGTTTATTCGTATGTGTATGTTAAAACTGTGTAATCCAAATGCTATGCATTGCAATTCAAATACATCAATCTTTTTTTAAGGGCCTGACCCACCTGTTATGCCCACGTCTATATGCATGAATAATCTCCTTCTCCATCTCGGAAAACTCAGCTGTTATAGTGGAAATGACCAATTAGACCAGATCGCCGTCCCTTCAGGCCTCCCTGATGTACATTCAAGCGAAGAGAGCTGGAAATTATTATTTTTTTTTGCATATTTCTGCTCATCTTAATCTGAAAAACTTAATCAGCCAGAAGCGAAGGTCTCGATCACACGTCTCCCACCCAGAGCGTGTCACACATAAACTCGTCATTCTGAGTGCGATAAGACCCATTATCATCCACTGTGATTGAAATGAAAAGAGATTGGCTTAACTGCAGTCGCTCAAAGACATTAGCGCCCGGCGGGATCCTTTAGCTCACTGAATATTGAGTCTTATCATCTCATAACTTAAATTGAGAGACAATGGATGTGCCTCTGTGACCCTTTACATCTGATTACAGTGTGACTCTTGATTAAAGTTATGTTTAGGCTATAGTATGTGTTTGTGTATTTATGTAGATATATAGTTGTGAAATGTTAGATCATGACGCCTGCAACGTTTTCATTGTATTTTTAAGGTAAACTGGCTGCCAAAGTAGCCAATTTTACTGTTAAATAAATTAAATGTCCAGAGTGTATCATCCAATATCTCATTTGATGTCTTCATCAAGCCCAATAAAGGAACAAAACTGCAGGGCTGTCGTTCCTCCGTCCAACTATAGTCCACAGGGAAATTATCAAAGACGCGGGAAAAATAGGATAAACGTTGGGTGTGATTAAAAATTGGACGAGCACAGGTTGTTCGGCTTGTTAAATGTGTGCATTTGTGTGTGTCCGCTCTGTTGAGATGTTTACAGAATAAATATAGATGCCAAATTAGCACACGAAATCCCAGACAAACACACATTTTGTTCATTAGAAGAACACACATTAGTGCAAGCGGTAAATGAGACTCTTGGCATCTTCCTGTAAAATGCATGAAAAAGGTGCGCCCGAACTCATCAATCGGGATAAATAGGGAACAGAATGTAATCAGTTGGTATGCTAATCTAATTTAAGTTACACTATATTTTTGTTCAAAGTTAACAACATTTAAAAGTCATTACATCCTCAAATCTTTCTCCAAAATGTGTTTTAATTTCACTTTGATTCACAGAACCTTGCGTACTAAATGAGGCAACGGTGTCGAGTTATACATTCAAGCTAAGGCATGAAGAAATGTATTTTTTCAAGGAAAAATAATTTTTAATATGTAATTTTGGTGGAGTTTTGAGGAATAAAATGATTGACTACATGGGGACTTTAACAACATGCCGATTGTCCAGCATGAAGAAACACCTTTCTCTGGAAAAAAGCTCTATAAAACAGTTATAAAAGTTAACGTAATTTAGAAAATGTATACAGTGCATGCAATTAACCGTGAGTCTATCCCGTCACAGCCTCTTTTTCATAGCAGTCTAATCTAACTAAGGTCCATTATACATGCTTGTATTTGGGTGAGATACATTTTCCATCTTAACATTGAGCCGAATAACAGGTAGAAAAACGCATTCGGAGGGGGTGAATACTTCTGGATTGAATACTCGGCACAGTCAAACTTCGTAAATATTTACCAGGAAATGTCAATGTGATTAAACTGCAGTCACGACTGCGACTGAAGGGATCCAGTGACACGGGCTTTATCAGATACAGACAGATAATTAAGGACTGATATTTGGAGTATCCTTTCATCGTATAACAGAGATTTTTTTAAAGGTATTTAGTATTTGGATAAACATCCCCATCATGTCTGTGGTCTGTTAATGGAGGCAGTGCTGAGGAAATAACATCTTAATTAGAGCGAAACCTGAGGACGCTGAGTTTATAATGAAGAGGCTGAGAGATGTAGCCTAACACACACACACCCAGGTGGCAGTGTTAAACAGCACTAATCAAGGTTAAGACTGAAGTTGCTGAGAGCGAGAGAGAGAGAGATGAGGAAAACTAAAATAAACAAGGCGCAATGTTTCTATAAAGATAGCCTACTTCATAATCATACATTTTTGAAATTGATTTGAGGTTAAGGCTAACACTCTCAAGAGATGAGCGTATCCCTAAAAATCATGAAAAACTGTATTTTTCTGAGAAGGGTCTGGCTGCAGACTTGCACTCTCAGACTTGCACGCTCAGACACGAGCGCTTCCGCTGCAAGTGACGTCAGACTTGCACGCTCAGACACGAGCGCTTCCGCTGCAAGTGACGTCATTTGCAATCGACACCTGCTCTCCGCTACCTGTGAACTCACGTGCAATCGACGGCGCATAGTGTGTCTCGTGGCGGATTGGGAACAATTCCAATGTCGTTAAAAATCGTTTCTGTAAGTAATAAGTATATATGAAGAGTTCAGATGCAAAAGCCTCTAAATGACATTTGAAATTTTCTCCTTTAATGATGATTTTTATCAAACTTGTATATTTAAGTTTAGTAATTTCACTTAAATAACAATTAATAGGCAATTATCATTGCCATTTAAGAGAAATTACTGAACTTTAATATACAAGTTTGATAAAAATCATCATTAAAGAAGAAAATTTCAAATGGCATTTAGAGGCTTTTGCATCTGAACTCTTCATGTGTATATTTTCACACACATATACCTAAATATAAACGCAATAGGCCTAAATATATGCCTTTGCTTTATAGGCCTGTGATAAATAATACATTTTACCTTTTACACGATTTTTAATCTCTGATACACAAATATATTAACGTTAGGCCTAACAAGCCAACCACTCACGGTCTTAAATACATGAAGAAAACTTATTAATAGAGTTGTATATAAACTGGCTTTACATGATTTACACGTTGAAACCACTGTAGTTTGCCGTCCCGTCCTGTTTTACGGTGAAAACATTTTTTAGTAAAATACGTTGTGTAAAATACATGCAATATTCGATCATGTTTCGACGTCACGTCTGTACAACAGTCTAATATCAATATTATCAATGGTTTCATTACAGATGCATCATGCACCATTCAGTCATTTTAGTTTCTGAAAGCCCCCTGGTACCACAGTGCACATCATGTTGCGCTTTGTATCACTGCAGTTTATGCCCTTCTCTGAAGCCAACCACCCTGAAAAAAATAAAGCTACACTGGGAAGGCCATTTAAAAAAAGCAGTTGTTTTCCAAGGTAGATGCATTAAACCATTGGACTGTAATTGGTGCACAAGCACATTTTTACATATTTTTCCTTCAAATAAACATAAGAGGGTACTGCTCTGAAACAGTTCTCTAAACCGTTGTTTTCACTTGCAAATGGGTGTTCACAGACGTGCAATGCTTTTGTCCATATTTGGGCCACAAAAAATGGCAAAGGTGTAAACAGTAATTGTTTTAAACTTATTTTTCTTAAGCTTGAAATGCAATTTACACCTTAAAGGGATAGTTCACCCAAAATTTAAAGTTCTATCGTGGTTTACTCACCCTCAAGTTGTTCCAACCCTCTATTTGTTTATTTGTTCTGCTGAACACAAAGAAAGATATTTGGAAGAATGTTTTAATTAAACAGATCTTGATCCCCATTGACTACCATCCTACTATGAAAGTCAATGGGGATCAAGATCTGTTTGATTAAAACATTCTTTCAAATATCTTTCTTTGTGTTCAGCAGAACAAATAAACAAATAGAGGTTTGGAACAACTTGAGGGTGAGTAAACGACGATAAAACTTTAATTTTGGGTGAAGTATCCCTTTAACAAAGCTTTTCTTGCACATGCAAATTTAATTTATGCTTACAATCTTATGTAGCCTACACTTCCACAGATTTTCCCTTACATATGCAAATCTTTTTGGGTTATATATTGATGGGTTTTATAAGTAGTAGTCAACATTTAAAGTGGATGCAAAAAGTTCATTGAAATTGTCAAAAAAAAAAAAAAAAGAATGGGTATTGTTGTGGTTTTAGGACATCTTTAATGAAAGGTTTTGATCTACTTCAAATGTTTACTGCTGTAATTGTATGGTTTTTATATAGGAACAAGACGTTGCAGACGCCGTTGAGAGATTGGAGAAGGCTGAGTTTCCACAGGACAGAATCGATGCTCTGGAACCCTTTTGCTTCATCTTTACTGTAATGAATGACATGCAAATGTTTCTTGAACATGTAGTTGATGTCATGAAATTAAAGGTAAACTGTCGAACTATAGAGCAAAGTGAATAATGTGCCAATGTGTTTTTATATATTGTCTATTTGTACCTTGTATTTGTCTGTTTTGCACAGTATGTATACTGTAAATTGACATTTACAATAAAAAGAAAAAACAATACATCAACTTGATGTTTTTCATTTACAAACTGGTCCCACAAAGTTGTGAGCATGAAATTGTCCAAAATGTCTTGAAAATAATTAAAAATAAGTTAATAAATAAAAATAGTAAAAAAAATAATTTCTTTCTCAAAGCTGAGTTTTGATTAAGTGATCAATTTATGTACATGTCTTTTCCCACATGATTTTTGGTTGTAGGTTATCCGTAAATGAATGTGGCATTTAAATGCCAGTGTTTCCCAAATGAAACAAGAGCTCTTGGTTTTGAATGATGTGTGTAATGTAGAGAAATGTGTTTAGAGTTTTGCAAAAAGTTTGATTTTCAAATACAAACAGAGCAAAGCATATAATGCCCTTGTATTTTTGCAGACATGGACTAAAGATTGGGTACATGAATAGTTTCACTGATTGAGCCTCAAATTCCACTTGTAGTGTGGCAATTTGTGTAGCAATTTGAAAAAAAAAAACTGCCAACAAAATGACAAATGACGGCTTAACACGACCAAAATGAGCGTGTCTACGCGTTCAAAAGAAACACGTAAAAAAAAAAATATCGCCGCGGTCACAATTCACGCGTTTCGTTTAAAGACTATTGGCCCCGATCGCGTTCCGTAGAGCAGACGTCGCTTGCAAGTGACGTCACTTGCAGAGGAAGCGCTCGTGTCTGAGAGTGCAAGTGACGTCACTTGCAGAGGAAGCGCTCGTGTCTGAGCGTGCAAGTCCGAGAGTGCAAGTGACGTCACTTGTCTGCAGCCAGACGCTATTGATTTTTCTTGGATCATTTGAAATTAACTATGCAATCATGACCAGTCACATGACAGCAGCATTTGCAGTAAGTAAGTCAATTTTAAGGCTATTTTAATTGTTTAGACCTGATGTCAAACTCGGAGCGACACGTCCAAAAGTGCCATTTCTTAATTGAAGACTATAGCGCAAATAAAAGCACAAAGCCTCCAAAACCTTCATTATGAGTTCATTTCAAGCTATAAATGATGAACAGTGGATTTTTTTTCATTGAATGCAAGCGCAAATTATGTAGTTGTTGACAAACACTTGATTGTGCTGCTCAAAGTTTGACATCATTGTCACATGACCCATCGGGATGTGACGCGTTCAAATGCATAAATAACAGGAAAGTGCTTTGAAACATGCAGCATTATTCAGTGTGTTGGCGTAATTAGAACTGAAACAGGAAAACAGGGCGGGGCATATGAAACAGCCCCTCCCCTTTTTTAAATAGCGCCAATCGCGTTTTGTTTATATCACAGCTCAGAGCCGTTGAGTTTGTTAAAGCCGCAGTCTCCTCCTAATCTCTAACCATTTCTCCTCCATATCACTTTAAAACACAGCATTCGGTGCAAAATTTAAATGGGTCTGATATGTTTTCTGGTTTGCGCCGAATCACGCATATGATCCGCTCTGTGTGTCGCAACCTGAGCTGCGCGGTTTGCGTGACGCTAATGTGAAACCAGACCCCGATGGAACGCATTTACACTGTCTGAATCGTTCCCTATCCCATATACAGTGCACACTATGTACCATTCATCATGTAAATGTGTGAACAAGTGATCAAATTTAGCTTCAGCATCTATTTATAATAGTGTAGGGGGCGGAGCTTCAGATTCAAGAGAGCATTTGATTGGACGGAAAATCTGATGAGAAGCTGAAGTGCAGGGTGATGTCATCAAAATCACTGACCCATATTGGCGGAAGTGAGAGATTATCAGTTTTGAATGCATATATCACCTAAATGTGAATATTGTCATTGTTTTTGAGCACACTAGTTTATAGATAACAGTACGGCTAACATATTAATACTAAAAGCCCAAAAACGTCATTGATTGATTTCATGGGGACTTTAAATTTCAGTCTGAAATCATATGACTATGTATAGGGATGAGGGTGAGTAAATGATGACAGAATTTGTATTTATTTTTAGAACTTTTCCTTTCATTTTAAGGGTCATAAAGAGGCTGGAAAATGTTAATGAAAAGCTAAAATGTAAAGCTGAAAAATGAAAAGGTATAAAAGTATAGTACATGGTTGCTTTAAAACTCTGCTGATGTTCATCATCGTCACCCTGTCATGATGATAAGTTTCTCTCTCATCAGCTCATGTCTGTCGAGATGTTCACTTTGATTCACTTGTTTTTTGCTTTTTTTCTGTCTCGAGTCGAGAGCACCCAGGGTCTTATTACTTTACTCTGATTCTGTCTATAAGTTTCTCTCTCTGTCTGTCTTTATTTGTGCATCATCTGTCAGTGTCTTCCGAACAAAAGACCGTGAGAGGCGTAGAAGCGTGCGGTTTGTAATGGTTCTTTCAAATATGTAAGTACACATCATTCGAGTGCTAGTGTTTCCGTTAAGTGTGTTTGAGCAGTGATAGAGTTTTAATGACTCACATTTCACCTGTTTTAAAGACAGAAGTGGTGTATGGAAAAGAGGATTAATTTTAGTGTGCAATATCTACGTCACCACCACACGCAATAGAACATGAAACTGACAACAGGGTCTAGAGAAACATTCTTTAATATTAGGGATGCACCGATAATGAAATTGAAGCCGAGATAAACTATTAATTCTAAATTTTTCAAAGCCGATATCCGATAAATTGGCAGAAAAATATTAATTTAAATTTTATATAATTTTTGAGAGCCTGATTACTAAAGACAAAAGTCTCACCATTAAAACTCATGTCCCAAACACACAATTATAATGCTCTCCTTAGTTTTCCTGTAGCTCAAACAGTAACGCATTCGTGCTCGCAGTGCCAAGTTCATGGGTTTGACTCCCAGGGAAAGCAAGAACTGATAAGTATATTGAAATGCAATGTAAGTTGCTTTGGATAAATGCGTAGTAAATGTAAAAAAATTTATGACAGACTTCCGCTGCAGATGTTGCACTTAACTGTATTTTCCTTTTTGGAAGAGATTTGAATCATATTTCAAGCTAATCAGATCCATCCTTCCTCAGCTGAAGGAAATAATCCATTATTTATCGGCTTTAAAATATCGGCCAAATTTTCTTGTCAGGGCGATAACGATAATATTAAAAATGAGCATCGTATCGTGCATCCCTACTTAATATGCGTTGATGCATTTACATAACATTTTTCTGAATTTTCTAAGGATATCCTGGGTACTCTTTTCAGTATAATGAAAGTGTGTGCGGACTGGGTCTGTCTGGGTATCGAGTTTCATACTTTTTAGACCGAATTGCCTCGATACCATCGAATATCAAAAAATCTCTTGTTGACTAAATTTCGAAACCTAAGGGGTTAATCTTGTCAACGTCAGTGAGCTAATAAGCATGCAGCTTGATTGGCTGAGGCACCTTCCCGTGTTTTCCGGGTTTCTCACGTATTTTAGCTCTTTTCTCGCCGTCTTCCCGTTCTAGTGTTTACCCGTAAAATATCCCGTATTTTTACGCTCTGACTGTGTGAGACGTACCAGCTCGGACAGGTTCGGCTTTAAGACGGTCATCCTCGGACGCGGCGCCGCGTGCGCGGTCACAAAAAAAAACTGTACACTTGTGCACCAAACGCGTCATTTTTGCCGCGCTCATGTGGACGCGTCGAGTATAAAGGCTTTACTCTGTGTCAGCGCGAGTAAACAGACGACTCCTAATCATCTCCAGCACTCAGGCTAACTCCCCCTCCGATTCCCCAAAGCCCGTCGGTCTCCGTCATAAGCTGATATTAGAGTGAGTATTTAAACATTCTTTATGATTTTTTCTCTCTCACACATATGTTACTGCTTAATTTTTAAAGTTTGAGGCTAAGAATCTTGTAAAAGAAAAGAAAAATCCCTTTATTTGGGGATGGATTCTGGGAATTCTCACTTATTTTCAATGTTCAATGTTGATAG